TCACCTCATTTTTTAAACTACTGTAATAGTGACCATTCTGGACAATCAAAGCACTGAAAGATTTAATGTGAAATAAAATGTGAGATATCCCACTTTTGCAGTCAGGACCTTATATTTAGTTGCATCTCCATCGCTGTTCATCACTGCAGGTCTGGCAGTTCAGTACCTTGTTCTCTCCGGTGGATACGTGGTGCTTTCAGGATGTGCCGCCTATCTCAGAGCATCTAAAGGTGTGTCGTTATTATGAGAGGGAGTCCAGGACGGAGAAGATTTACCTGCCACGCATGCGAGAAGAAATCCAGCCCAACACAAGCTGCAAACCTCCCACTCTGGTTACCATGTTCCAGCAGAAGAGAATCATGATGTAGTTCACTGTAAACTGGTCTGGTTTGGGGTTTTATTGCATGTTAACTTCTTTTCCCCCTCCTTCTATTCCTATATCTCCTGCCACTGCAGTTCACTTTAAAATTACAGGAGAAAAATCACAATAAATATCAAATTAAAGCTTACAGAGATAAGTTTTGGAGTCACGTGTTGAACTGAATCTTAGAAACTACATATATTTAAAAATGATGTCAGAAGAGCACTGAAGTTCATTTTAATTATAAATAAATCAATCAAGTTACAGATATCTGCTGTTTTTATTCACACGTTTCTTTTTCACAGATGCTTTGCAAATGGTTATAAACTGAAATGAGAGGGATTTCCTGACTAAATAGTATCACCAAACACTTTATCTTATGCATCCACATTTTATTTTATTTTATTTTGTGTTACGCCTGTAAACTAAACATATTTGCTTAGAAAATGAATTGCAAGTGCAGCGTTAACCACGTGATGAGGTAGAAAACGGATTCAAGTCACTTGTGCAGGAGTAACACAGCTCTGCTTCCCCCTAGTGGTTCTCAGTGGTATTGCGCATGTTTTTGAGGATATCCGCTTTAAACATTTTATAAAACATCGCCACGTTCATGGTGGAGATGAGACTCAGGCCGGCGGCCCCCATCATCAGGACATAACGAGGAATGTGTTCACTGTGACGGGCCAGCCAGCGGCTCATCCAGCCCAGCGTGCAGGCACGAAACACCAGAAACCTGCAGATGAAACAGAAGAAACAAGCTGACAGATACCAGTCTACACTAAAGTCACCATGCAAGGCCCAGATAGTGAAAGCTTGGGATTCAGTATCTTGCACAGTATCTGAGATATTGATGTGGGAGCAGCTGGGATAAAACTGGCACATCTGTGATTATTGGACAACAGTTTCAGGCAGATAAACACAAAACAGGCCTTTCAGGAAACAGATTAAAGAAGTAAAAGTAGAGCGCGGATGGTTTCCTGGAGGCCTCACAACTTTAAGCTCAACAATTCTGGTTACACAACCAATTATTAGGTTTCGGGGGAATTAGCTTTTTCCTCTCCTTAATAAATGAAGCCATCATTAAAAAAAATTAACGAGGCTTTACTCAGGCTAAGTTTGCATAATATTAACATTTATTTGATGTAACATATTCAAAAACACTTCAAAATGCTTTTAAAAAGGTGCTTTATGATCTATTCCCACCTCGCATAAAAAGATCATTTCTTCCTGCTAAAAAGAATTCCTGAACCACCTACGTTCCCACGTTGAGCCAGCTGGTGATGCTGTAGGCGAGAGAGGGCTGAGGGGCGGTGAGTTCAGTGCCTGGCTTGTTCCTCCGTCCTGAGAGGATGAGGAGCTGTCTGAGATGAAGGAAAACCGAGTTGATCTCTACCAGCAGAGACACCGCTGCAAAACCCAGATAGAGGCGGGACGTCACAGTCAAACCGAAGCATGAGATCACCTGAGAGAAATGTTAAAACAGCACATGCAAAGAGACAGCAATACAACACTTTATTTACACGTTAATCATGCAAAAATCACAAGTTTTAATCATGGAAAATGTGAATTAGCTCATTTCAGACCAGCCAGAAATGAATGTCAGTAAGTGATATATAGAAACCTGCTGGACCATGATTATTAAAGGCTTTATAGCCTTTAATAATCATGAATTTTTATGAATGAATTTTTACACACCATCATTAGTATTTGGAGGATGAATTTCAGGTTGTCAATCTCCACACGTCCCCTGAGATCAGCTGATCTGTGCCAGCACACACCAGCTGATGGCTCTGCTGATTGATCTCATAATTATCAGTTTTATATTGGCTGTTATTGATGCGTGCTGAGAGGCGACGCTGCTGCCCTCCCACTATTGAAAATAATACCGCAGGAAATAACAGAATGACAACAGAAGAGAGTTTAAAATGTTAATAAATCGCTGTAAATAAAGTTTGGTAAAAGAGTTATGTAACTAAACATTCTGTGAGATTTTTTTTTTTTGCACGAATTTAATGAATTAAGTATCTGGATAAATTAAAAACAAGCCAAACTTGATGAAGGAGAATATACTGTTGGGTAACCTCAGGAATGTGGTGACCCACTCTGAGAAAACTGGACGCAAACATATAAAACTTGAACCTTGAACTTTGATCAGAAAGGCTTGTGCAGGATTAACAGTTCCCCACGTAAAAATAAATAACTCGTTGTGTCTTTGGATAAAGTAGAACCTGCATAGAGATACTTAGCAGCACAGTCAGGAGCAAACGCACCATGACACAACATGTGCTGCCTGAAAGCGGGTCTGCTGTATGCGCTGACAGTAAAATCACAGCATAGAGCAGCACGACTGAGGTTTCGCTCACTGATCTCGTCGTTATCACCCGGATATGGGATGAGTGCTATCACCAGACTGACTCAACTTTGTGCTTGTGTTCTTAGATTACACACTCAGGAGATGAAACAGTACTCAGATCCCGTATTTTAAATGGATGACAGAAATTAAGCTTATGTGAAAGTTCAATAAGGAAGATCTGTAATCACTCATCTGCCTGCTTTCCTGGCTCTTCGGCTGCTAGTCTGTTCATTTCATTACTGCCACTTTCCCCTGCTGTCAATCTCAATACTGACATCGTTATATTCTTCATTACTACTTTCTTCTTGCCTGGCTTCTTTGAGGCGATCAGCCTCCAGTCTGCGTTGTTTAAATCTGTGATCTCTTTTCAGACTCATCTCTCATCTTCACTTCACTGAACTCAGGTTTCGTCTTCACCCCCACCAGCATCTCAACTCCGCAGGGTCTTGTCCAAAAAATCCTATCAAATCCTATCGTGTGAATAGCTGCATCACTCTACCTCCATATTCAAAAATGTAAAAAACAAAACAAAAAGCAGCTCATTATGATCTCTTATGAGGTCATAATTTTTACTTACATTTGTAAGGACAAGAGAGAAGTATCTTAAGTATCTTATTAACTGAGATAGATGGATTATTATTCCCTGTTTTTGTGTAAAATAAACTGATGTGTTCCCGTTACAAAAAGTGTATGTTGGTTCATGTTTTCACACTGTGTTAGCAAAAACACACCCAAGCATTAGACCCACAAAGGTCATTACCAAAGAGTGGTGGAGGAGTAGATCCCAGGACTGTTTGAAGGGCTGGTTCAAGGCCATGTCTAGGAAGTCGTGGATAAAATACCCTGGAGGAGAGGTAGAAATATGCGTGCAGGCTAATGTATTTAAACAATGCTAAAGTATTAAACTGCTATCAAGTTATTTTTTGAAATGCAATGTATACACATTTGCATGTGTGTGTGTGTGCGTGTGTTTGTGTGGGCATCACCTGTGGATACAGCTACAAGACTGTGGGAGTGCAGGGAGCAAAAGGAGATCAGGTCCGCCATCATCTGAGGGTGACGGTAAAAGCTGCAGGGCGAGAGAGCCCACAGGAAGAGTGAATATCACACGAGTAGAAAACAAACGTCCACACTACCCTGACTGCTGCGCGCCTCTACGAACCATAAAACAGCCCCCGCTCCTGTCAGGCAGCTGTGAGCTAACGACGTGCTGACATTCCTCCATTTCCAGGCTTTCCTCTGTGCCGGCTGCGGTGTTGGCAGGACTCTGATGACTGCATTGAGCAGTTTGAAAGAGCCGGCAGAGCCTCCAGTGAGCAGAAGTGTTGATTTCAAATCCATAACAATAGTTGAGCGGAGTTCACCTCACGCATGTCCAGTGCATACCTCAGTGGAAACACGCTTCATGAAAAGAGAGCATGAGACGCTTGTGTCACTGTGAGGTCACTGTTATATATCATATATTGTTTCTATAGTGATAAACTCATAGCTGATAGTAAAGGGCCGTGGACACATAATGGTACGATTGCCTCTCAAGGACAACAACCCTGGCTTTCATAACTCACTTTCGCTTCATCTTTATGACATCTTTTCAGCAGTACTGTTAGGTCTGCTGAACAGTTCAGCAGCTCTACTAGCCCCACACACATATGTACACACACGCCAAGTTTTCCAACAACTGTGATCTCAACAATGTTAAAAAAAGAAACGTTTTGTGAAAGCCGAGTTGATGGCAAACTTGATGTTTGCACCGGATGTTCTTAATGAAATTCCTTGTGGCACATATGGGCGAAAATCTGATAGACGTGCAGCCTCATGTGTGAATGTGACCACAGTGCCTGACTTCAGTGTTTCTGCTTTAGAGTGAATTATGCCCACCTGTGGTTGAGTAAGTGTTGCTTTGTCGCCCCTCCATTCAGCGTTCAGCCTCGTCAGCCTTTCTCTGTGCTGCCGTTGTAAAAAAACAAAAGAGCAGGGTCTCCTTTCTCTGCGACAATACGGCGGCTGAACATGAGCCGCCACAGTGCCCAAACTCTCCGCTCACTGCCTCACCGAAGACACTTTCCAGGGTGATTAGAGCCAAATCATCTACTTTTCACTGGACCAACTGGGATGCAGGTTGGGGATGGACTGGTTCCCTTGGAAATGGACTCCCATTGTTCATCTGCTGAGAGGAAAGCAAAGTGACGCAGGACTCAAATTGTTTCCACCTGAGCGTCTGAATAACCTTTAATGTCCCTGGGGTTCGCCTTGGTGTCTGCGAGCTCTTACAGCTGAATCACAGAGATGTCGACCAAGCCGCGTGAGTAGCCTCAGCAGAGTGGTGTCTGAAAGTAAACTGATGATCATTCATTTGATGACTCATTTATTTATTTATAATGTGTTTGGGCAGCCCGCGGAGAGCTCACGGACTCTGATTCAGAGAACCCATCAGAGGAGCTGACAGAGGTGGTTTGTCTGGAGTCAGACCTGCAGGATGGACAGTAAGGAGGGGATGGGGAACCTGCAAACATATGCCTTTGTGTTTTAACCACATAAACAGTTATTGCTATAAATTTTAAACTGGTCTCAGTGTGACATCTAAAACACTTGAATGATTTATAGCAGGGATGTCAAACAAAAGGGACAGGGACCAGAAACGGCCCGGCAAAGAGTCCAATCTATTTCGTTTTTGTTGTTGTTTTTTGTCCTCACAAAAATGGTTAATTTCTGTGAATAAACCCTTTTTTCTATTATTACTGGTCAGTCTGAGAAATTAGACTTTTTTTTGTTATTTTCCACATTTATTTCTTACAATTTAAGCTCAAAGAGTCTTGCTCAGAGATTTCTTTCTTTGCTAAAGCAACATTTCTTGGCCTCTCTTTTTCTTAAATTAAGACATCTCATAACCTTCTTTTCTTTGACAGAAAGGGGAATTTTCCTTGGGGCTGAGCTGTATGTACCTCACAGTGTAAAACGCATTTGACCACAAAACCCCCTTTATTTAGATTATTTAGACACTCTGTGGGGTCTAAATGACAGTGGGGGTCCCAGTAGATGAAAGCTCTGGAGTGAATATATGTCTGTGCCATCTGGTCAAAACTGTAGATCAGACAGTGAATACCAGCCTCATAAACACGAGCCAGAGACACTTGGGCTATTGAACCTGTCTAAAACCCAACAATACTACGACAGTTTTAGTGAAAATACTACCAGGAGGCCTTGTCATTGATTGTACCCCGTCAAAAACTCCCCATGGTTGCAGTTTTATCAAAAAATACAGCCTCTGCGGGAACAGGGGAGGGGTAAGGCATCAACAAAGTGAGTACAGTTTATAAGGAGGATAACACGACCACCTTGTCTGTGTCCACGTCCTCTGGCTGAACTGAAGCTCTGGTTTTCAGACTTTTTCTGGCACACCACACTTCAGAATCAGCAAAAGGTTGATGGCCCACAGACTACAGTTTTCATCGGGCACTTGTTTTTTTTAAATAAAAAAGCCCAAAGTATTCAAAAAATATTTATGCCCAAAATGGTAACTTTATGTAATTTGATTACATGTAAATTTTTGTGCATAATTTTGTTGTATAAATTCAATCTAAAACATTACATTTAATCTAATCTGGTCAACTAACTTACTTGATAGGTGTGCATTCAGTTTATACCCATTAATGATGAATTATTTTAATACATAAACCTTTGATTTTATACATTTCAGGTGCATTTTACTTAAAAAAAAATATTTTTTTCAGTCCAGATAAAGCCATCCCTGCAGACACGACGCTTCCACGGCTGGAGGAAAAGACCAAGTTGAAGTGTTAAACAAGCTTAGATGTACAAACAATGAAATTTATCTTATTCTAAAAAATTAAAAACCTCTCTCTGTGTGTGTGTGTGTGTTATCTCAGGATGATGGAAGTTGAAGTCGGACATCACGGTGTGCTGCTGACGCGCAGTGGGGGTAAATACAGCGCCATTGGGAACCAGTGTACACACTACGGCGCTCCACTTAGCAAAGGTATGAAGACAGGAAGTCTGAAGAGGAATTTCTGTGACATAGATGTATTTCAGTCTTGAGTCAAGTCTGGGTGCTTGTGTGGGCAGAAAAGTGTCATTTAAGGAAATTTATCTTGTCTGTGCACACTGTAAGGTATCAGACTGGTCTGAGCTTCATATGTGTTTCTTATGTTTTAATAATTTGTCTTCATCTTGTATTTTTCTTGTGCGCATCTTTGTGTGTTCAGGTTTTATTTCGGGGAACAGAGTGCGCTGCCCGTGGCACGGCTCCTGTTTCAATGTCCACACAGGCGATCTCGAGGAATACCCCGGCATCGACTGTCTACCTTGCCACAAAGTATGAACCGGAGAGACAGATTGATACAAAGCTTATGAGCACATTTGCTGTTGTTTAAATGTTTTTATTTTCTCTTTTGAAGGTCCATATTCAAAACAGCAAAGTGTATGTGTCCATAAATAAAAAGGTAAGTAGGTTACCTTTTCTGTTTTAGTAATATGAGGCCAGTTTAATCTCCTGGTATCGATCTCTTCAGCGAGGAAAGAAGGCCATACACAACTAATTCTGAAAACCTTTGTCACTGAACACAGCTCCCCGCTGCATTCATGAACACTAGTTAAAACCCAGCTACAGGAAAGAGAGGCTGAAATTATTGCCAGGGAGTAACTGTTGGAGGGAGAACCTGGATTTTTATGGTGGAGGCGATAAACACCAGTTGATGACCTGACTCCAACATAGCAGACTCCTGGTACTTCTGCAACCCAAATCTGTGACCCACTGAAACAGTTAGCACATTACAAAACTTAACAAAAGAGGACCTTTGCAGTTGAAAACACAGATTAATCAAAAATGGGGAGCATATTGCTTTAAAAACTAAAACAGTTGGGCCCCAAACACTTATCATTTTGTTGTTTTTAAAAAAATAGGATGCTACAGAGTGGAATTTCCCTGCTTTTCTTAAGTGTGACGTGTCAATAAATTCATACTGAGCACATTTTCCCCTTAAAAATCATTAAAATATCAAGTTTTATCTTTTTAGTTCATCACTGACTCAAACTCTTACGCTTTATTTTGATTCACATTTTTGGAAACTGGTTTGTAGCTGAAAGTTGCAGTGAACAAATGCACTGAAGGGCTGTCTCATGTGACTGGCTGATTTGATTTGAACCTAAGAAATCAACCATGAGTGTATTTTTAGGCAACTGAAATAATATCCCATGAATAATTTTCTGTTTGTAAATATCACTGTTGGTACCTACTGATGACCTGACCACGTGTTTGATCCATGATTCAGACTCTCAGGCAGGAGAAAAGGACAAAGCGTATGGGCACTGCAGTCCCAGGAGTTACTCACACTGTTCTGCTGCTGGGAGGAGGTGAGTGTGGACCAATATGTGTGTGTGGTTGTGTGGCTTCAATTGGGCACTTAACTGGCATCTTCCACCATGTCCTCTCAACAAATAAGTAAATGTAACAATTTTGCCTTGGGATTTGAGTAAATGTGTCAGGAAAATGAGATGCTTCTCTGATCCTGCAAAAAAGTACATGTATGCTGTACATGGATACGTGCAGGTATTAGATTGAGTTGCCTCTGATTTGCTTCCTTTGTGTGTGTGTGTGTGTTGTTTTGTGTAAGTGTAGGAGCCGCTTCACTCAGTTGTGCTGAGACGCTGCGGCAGGAAAACTTTGGTGGCAGGATCATCATGGTGACCAGAGAAGACCTCCTACCTTACGACAAAACACGTCTGAGCAAGGTTCAGCACAGCGAATAACTCGACACAAACACATGAAAGTCTCTTTATGAATTTTCTTCACTTCACTGGAGTTTCGCTGATTTCACAGGTGATGAACGTGGAGAGCGACAGCATCCTGATGAGGAGGATGGAGTTTTTCCATCAGTATGACATAGAGGTGTGGCTCAGGAAAGAAGTGAGTACTTCCTGTATGACAACATCCTGCATGTGCTTGCATCTGTGTTTTATCTCATAGACATTATGACCTTGAGGTAAATCTTCATCCGGACAGCAACACATGTGGGAATGACTTGCTATCTATGTGATTGAGTCATGCTTTGAAACTGGTTGCTGATGTGTTTGCAGGCGCTTTCCGTGGACACAGACAAGAAGACGGTCACATTTGATGATGGTTCAGTCCAGAGCTACGACCAACTCCTCATTTCAACTGGCTGCAGGTACAGACAACCTCACAAATATGTGTACAAACCAGGGACGTGCAGAGAGGTTTAAAGGGGCGGGTGCTCAAAGTTAAAA